AATAATTTACGGTGCTGCGGTCAGGAATAATTAGATGATAATTATCACATTCCATTGCTGCCTTATTCGCCCATTAGTTGGCCGCTTGGCCAATCAAATTGTAAAGTGGTCAAACAAGAGTTTTAAAATTTCAAGGGGAAACTCATAAGGGCTCATAATTGACGGCTCCGTGGCGCAGTGGCTTAGCAATTTAGTTGCAGCGCTAAGGGCCGCGGGTTCGAATCCCTTGCGGAACTAGTATGTGTTTGTAGGGCCTAAATATAATTGTTCCGGCTCTGGTCCTTGTGCAATATATGTTCATAAACTTCCCCCACGATACAAGAGAAGATCCTAGTGTGGTGGTTACGTTTAAAAAAACATACGTGAGTGTCGTGGAATACTTGGTTGGAACGAAGTTCCTTTCGTAGTATATTTTTAAATACTAGTAATGCTAATAAACATTACTAATATTCCCTTAAACCACTTCTGGTAAGCTTGAAATGCTTGTGTAAGGAGTGGTTCACGACAGTAGTCGAATGGCGGATTCGAATTTCGAACCCACGATCTTTCGAGTTCACGGTCCGCGACTGCTATTAGGCTACTGACACTTCTAATAGATATTATTAGAAGTGTCAGTAACATAATATATATTATTGATAAACGTATTGAATTATTGATTAACAAATACAAATAATGGAATCACTCGTGTCTATTAAAATGAAGCGTCATTTAAAATAATATTTCTTTCATGGCAAGATAAGAAAAAGTGCGAGGGAGATGGATATTATTTCTCGCTTCCTTATAGCCGAAGCGGTCGTGACGGAAAAATCATACACTTTTTATCGCCTAGCCTCCATCCGCCAAATTCATACCGTCCGATAAGAAACTTCGTTCCAAAATTACGTATTCACTTAACGAGTACAGCAATATGGGAATAAATATTAGTCTCATCACATTTTGCTAGTTGGGAGTTGGGACTAAGCTGACCTGTTTTGTCACACAGTGTCATCATAGTTGAACCTTTGCGTTTTAATTGAAATTTTTTATATATATTATTTATTATTTATAGTATATATAGTTTCGTTTACGTGGTAGAGCTATGCTTCAGCTATATTGCAGTTGTAGCACGAATGGGTCGGCTTGACCGGGGAAGGACCACGCTCTCACAGAATACCAGCGTGAAATAGCAGCTTAACGCTGCTGTGTTTCGTATGGTGAGTGTGGAGAAACCCTTATTTATTTATTTATTTAATCTTTCACGCAAAAAATTGTACATATGGCGGACTTAATGTCATAGGGCATTCTCTCCCAGTCAATAATAATCGTATTATATAATATTCTCCCTTATAACTTATCTCAGGCCTCACGGGTGACAACGGATCTACATTTTGATTCATAATTGGGAATAGATGTAGATGTCTATGAGCCACGGCAACCGGTTACCATCAAATAGAATAGAATAGAATATTTTTTATTCAATATAGATCACATGTGTAATTCTTATTGAAAGTCATTTTTTACTTTACCACTGGTTCGAAAAAAAGCCTCTGTCCTGGGAAGAACCAGCAAGAAATCCAGCGGGACTTTTTTTTAAAGCAAATTTTACAATAATGGTTGTACAAACTATATAAATACAAAATTTATTTTAGAAACAGCTTTGAAGCGATCACCTCATTCCCAGGGGTTATTATCAACCATGTATTCATTTATACTATAATAACCCTTTTTATACAGTTTCAACTCAACAAAACATTTAAACTTGCTAATAGAGAGAGCCTGTACACTTTCCGGGACCTTGTTGTAATAGCGTATACATTGCCCCAAGAATGAATTACTGACTCTGTGGAGTCGAGAAACTGGTATCACTAGCTTGTGTTTGTTCCTAGTGTTTACAGAATGCACATCACTTTTTTTACTAAAACTACCTTTGTTTTTGTGAACATACATTAAATTTCAAATTTATCTCTAAGATACTCTCTCGGTTTTAGGTTGTAAATAGCTCTAATGGCCCTCTTCTGTAAAACAATAATAGTTTCTGAATCAGCCGCGATGGACTGTGTGCTCGTTTGTCACCCTTATCCTATAAAAAATAAATAAATAATGCTTTAGAGCTGTATTGTTTGCTTTTTCACATTTTCTTTTTAATTCTTCTACTTTAGGATTGACCATAGTTTAGTTTATTTATTTCTGATCTAATTAATATAAAATATAACTATTCAGAAAGAGACATTAATCTCTAAAATTTTCTAACTAATTAACTTCGTCCGCTATCAAATCTGTCAAATATTTTACCTCATTACCTCATTAATAAGTGGCTCCGCTCTGGTGGCAGAAAAAGTCTTGGATGCCGTTATAGCTTCATTATCTGATTTCGTACTATTAATTACTATCTGATACCCGCGACTTCGTCCGCGTTGCTTGATATATCAAGAAAACGCACATCACTGAACACGTAGTGCTTTAAAAAATTGTTGTTTCTTAAAACTTTAATAACCTTATATTAAATGAAGATATCGCAAATTATTTTTTTTGTTAGAATTAAGGCCAAGTGTCTAAGAAATAAAACTTAGAATACCTAATTGAAATCTATCCAGTAGTTTTTCCGTGATGCGCGCACAACTGCAATGCTAACTTCTATCAGTTTATTTATATAGAAGAAGAAGATGAACACCAAATATAGCACAGTGACTTATGTTAGGGCTGACTGTGAATGAGGTCTAATAATTTTCTGCTCACCAGATGTCGCTAGTTGACACTGAAGTAAAGTTTTTATTACACAATGTAATTTAATTGAGAAGATGGTTTTAAATAAAAGTTTATCAGTTTCTAGAGTATTATATTAATACACGAATAAATGCCTCAGTGGTTGGCTCTTTTATTTTTTGCACATTTATAACTTTTTTTAAGTTTTATGTTTTTATGAATATTTGTGGTTCGGCTTATTTATTTTTAATCTTATTAATATAAAATACAACTAATAGTACACAAAAAAAAATAACATTTACATTTTCCGAACAAATTAACTTACCCGCTATGAAATCTGTCAAATATTATACCTCACTTTCTAGTGGCGCCACCCTGGTGGCAGAAAAAGTCGTGGATGCTCTCGTTATAGGGTGAGAAATTATGTGCTAAAAGAAATGTGTGGTTTGCCATATGTTGTGACTAGTATTAAGAAAGGAATGACTCGGTAGAAATTATGAATGTGGAAATAGTGACAAAGCAAATTTGTGCTGCAGAAGTGAGTGGCAGAATCGCCTTGGACGGAAGTTTATTGACCAAATCGGTGATATAATTAGATGGGCCAAAACAAAAGCACTCTTAACCGACGAGCATGCATGCTTATTTATATGGATGTGAGAGGAAGCTGAGGTGTGTCAGGATTGTACCAAATGGAAGTCCGTAGCCTCTGCATACCCCTCTGGGTAACAGGCGTGAAAGTTTATGATAAGTTATATAGTACTGTGGTGGCGCTGTCGTCGTGCCGTAAGCGAAACGCACTGAAGCCTAAATCGCGCTCCGAATAGCTCCGAAACTCCGAAATAACACACATCAACACATTCCGCTTGCGCCATCGCCCCCCTGCGGTCGTGCGCTAGCGAGGTCCACTCCGCTAGCTGACCGAGCACCCGTCCCCGTACGGGAATTCCTCGGTCGGTTCAGTCTAGGGATAGAATGTCAGTCCCGTCCCGTCCCGCCGCAGCTAGCGCCGCTGCCCCCGTGCGATTATATAACTGTCCACGCTCACCGTCCCCGTACGGTGGGTGCCCTCCCGCCTCCGCTAGCGCCGCCGCTCCCGTGCAGTTGCGTTAGCCGTCTGCGCTCACCGTTCGACGTACGGTGAGTGCACTCTCGCTCATGCGCTGATGCGACTCCCACACCCTCACTCCTCTAGCACAGCCGCAGGGGCGGCGGGCTGCTCCAATGCGGCGAAGAGGCCACTCAGGTCAGAGCCAGTCCTAGATAACCACGCAGCCGGCTGCCGTGGTATGCTATGAGCATTCACCACCTCCCTTCCCCGCTTCCAGAGGGTAGCCTTGCATTAGGCGCAAAAAAAAAACACATGAAGCGTTGGCCGCTCCTCGGGCTGATGACCTTACCCGGCGGGAGATCTTCCCTTTTCCTTTCACGGCCAAAGTAGATAATAATTACGCGCCATACGCCTTAAATTATTATTTTTAGTAATCTAATGATTATTCGATACAAATTATAGATATATATGTAAACAATATTTTAAATATAGAATGTTTATTATTTTTACTTTGTTTTTTTTTCTAAAATTAATTTAGTTTTTTTTTTAAACCAGCATAAAATTGAATCTATTTTAATTGAAAATTACTAAACTTATAAACCAGATTTACTTTGAAAATAAATTTGACTAATCTAGGACGCAAATAATATTTTTCTAGTTCGTAGAATTACAAAATGTCGTAGACGAAAAGGTAATTATTATTAAACCAATCAAACTGCATAATATCCAGAATAAGATCAAATTTTTAACAATTAACAGTGAGGGCTATTAGTTTTCCGCTCACTAGATGTCGCTAGTTGTGACTGATCGCCAGTTTTTTTGTTAGACAATGTCAGTTAATAGAGAAATCAGTTTTAAATAATAGATTCCCTCATAGGAGGGATTTTGCCATAGTTGCCATGCTTGGCATGCGGGTTGGCAATCACAGTTTTTTATTACTTGGAGTTATTATCAGGGAGATGCTGCTGCCCATCTCCTGTTTCAGTTTTCACCTGTCGCCTTTAACGACGCCCATGGGATGATATGGGGTAATGAATATGTTACCACAGAGTAATGATTTCTTTACTCATACCTTCTTACACCACCTTATATATAGATGTATATAAGGTGGTGTAAGATTAGATGAATAGATACCTTATGAATAGATACGGTTGCATCACTTGGATGGATAACATGCAAAGTTCATGTTTTAAACTGGTCTTTTTAAAATAATAAAATCTTCTTTAATGTACTATTTGATTTCCTAATTAAAAATTTAAATTGTCAACAGCAAACCACGATGACCCGGCACTCCCACCAACCGACTCTCCGAGCACGGCTCAGCTCAAACCGGTTACGGCGGTCTCTCATATAACCGTCGCCAGCTCACCAGTTCGCAGTGCTCCAGCACAAAGCAGCTATGCCCTGGAACGAAGAGCTCTGAAGCATGACCATCATCATCGATCGATGGAGTCCGTACCGCCTGTGCAGGTAACGTTAACTATTTACATTAGTATTACTAAAGTATATAATAATAAGAATGTCTTCCAGACCGAATTAAGGCCATGGAGACCGATCTCAACGGAGACTAGCCATCTGCCATCTACCCAGACCGGTAATTTCTAAAGTTAAAGGTTAAAGTTACAGCCTATACACGTCCCATACTGGGCACAGGTCTCCTCTCATTTCTGAGAGGGTTTTAGGGTAAGGAAATATCCGCCGCGCTGCCCCAATGCGTGTTGGCAAATTTCACATATCTTCGAAATATTTTTTCTTTTATTTCTCAGACATGCAGGTTTCCTAACGATGTTTTCCTTCACCACCGAGCACGTGGTGAATCAGCACTTAAAATTGCAATTAACGATTTCATTGGTGCCGGCGGGAATCGAACCCGGGTTGCGCGCGTACTGTGAAACTTACAGCAACTACTACTCTTTGCTTGTAAAGCCAACAAGCGTATAGAGCATTGTATCCTACTGCGTTTAAATCTTTCTGTCTCTGACCTTTCCTCACCTTTACCGCGAGCGCTAACCATCGGAGCTCCCACGGCTCTATTGGCTCGGTAATGTCCAAGTTGCGAGACATACTGCAATCCCCAAAACTCCTACTTAGCGTGGCGATACGGCAGCTCTTTCCTGCATTGTGAGAGCACTGTCACCAGGAGATTAGGAAATAGTGTCACAATCTAATTTTTTAAAGATGTTAAAAATTAATGAATAGTCGTCCCAGTCTGTCTCAGTGACTTAGCGGTCAGCCACAGCAGAGACTATTTCACCTGAGAATGCCTTGTTTGAGGCGAAATACGTGTCGTATCATCGACGGTTTTAACTAAATAATTTTTAACATCTTTATATAGATTATTTATATATAAAATGATAGAGGTTTGCAGTTGATAGATTTCAATTAAGTTTTCTAAGTTTTATTTCTTAGACAATTGGTCCTTATCTAAAAAAATATTGCGATACCTTCATTTAATATAAAGCTATTAAGGTTAAGGTAAGGAAACAACGATTTTTTAAGCACTACGTGTTCAGTGATGTGAGTAAGCAACACGGACGACGTCGCGGGTTTTTCATTACTTCATAAAACAATAAAAGTTTGTAATCTGGCTAGTCTTTAATATAATGGATTTCCGTAAAGTAACGCATAATTCCATTTATTGTCTAATTGAAGTGAAACTTCTTTAGAATCGTTGTGATTTATAATATAAAATTAAAAATTTTGTACACCGACTTCAATATAAATTGTTAAGAATAACTCAAAAACTGTTGGTCAGATCTTGATCAAATTTATATGGGACCGCAGGTGAAGCACTAGCTTTCAACTAAAAAATAACGATTGAAATTGGTTCACCTAGTAAAAAGTAATGAGGTAACACACATAGAAAAAAAAACATACAGTCGAATTGAGTACTGGCTCCTTTTTGAAGTCGGTAGAAAATTCGATGAAACGAAAAAGCGACACTAAAAAGAAACAAACATATATTTAGCCTGCGAGAGAACGAGATAGAATACAGTATAGTAAACGATGCTAGCCTAATGGTAGGATGCGGACCGCGAACTCAAAAGGTTGTGGGTTTGAATCCGCCATTCGACTACTGTTGTAAACTCCTTACTCAAGCATTTTCAGCTTACTAGCGATTAAAGTGAATATTAGTAATTTTGCAAAACATTGCCAGTATTATTTATAAATTTTTCATGTTATATGTGTTTCTATTATCTCGGTGTCCTCTTTGTAGGGTGCTTTAAAGATGGTTAATATAAATTTTAACGATTAAAATAAACAATATAAATTTTTACAAATTAAATAAAATTATCTTAATTTAAAAATTCATTTATAACAATCCACGATTTCATAACTTCAAACCATCTAGCGTCTATTTTCATTAAATTTCATTAAACTTTGTTCGATAAACGAACTTACCTATAGAATAAAGTAGATGGCGCTATTACAAAGCAAATTTTACAAATATTATTCACAAATATAATTTCTTTCCCCAAAAATAAGAATTGTAACATTTATTTGCTAGTAAATTAAACTTTTAACTTATATTTTATACCAAACTTGTGGTTGAAAATTATCTAATTAAATAAATCATTTGCCGTGAAATATTTTTATTTTTTAATATATAATTTCATTTGAAGGTTTCATTCTACTATGTGTGAACTGCACACATTTTTTTCACCGAATTAAGACTTAGGCCTACCAGACCCGAACTTAGACAAGCAGGCGACAGTTCAATACCGATAAGAATTTCTGACTATTATAAGAACAAAGGTGACAATTTCTTTTTGTATGGAGAATGGGCCCGTCACAAATTGTAGCGTAACTTAATGAAATACATGTCGATTTATTCCTTATAACCTATAGATTACAAAAGTAATATTAGTTTTGTCTTATATAACGGGAATACTGAGAAATTAACAATTAATATAAATACTCTTCGGTAAATAATAAATGCTAGCATTGACGCCATTTTTGAATAAAATGTGTAAAAATATTGGCGAAAATAGTGCTTTTAATGACTGTGAGATGATGCTACTATCAACGTAAAAGCAAGTATTGAGGGCTTTTGTACCCCTGGCTATATACCTAATAACGAAAATATTGTAGTATTTACAATATAATAACAATTGTTATTTTTATTTATTGAAATAAATAATAAATGATATTAATGTCGGTAGTGGCGCTATCTCTTGAACAAAATGTATAAAAATTGTGTAGTGCTCTTGTTGCCTATGAGATGGCGCTGATATCAACGTAAAAGCAAGCTATTGAGATTTTTTTAGATTTCATGATTCCAGTTAGATTTTCATGAAATCTTTAGGCCACTTGAAACTGGAATCCTTTCCTATGTGCAATAAAATTAAGATACGTTACAATTTGTACTGGACCCAAAAACGATTGTCTAGTGTCTACTTACTTTACATCTTAGTTTCCTTTTTTGTGATTCTAAGATATTTCGCGAGTAGTATTATTTTCATTACTTTATAAAATAATAAAAGCTCCATATCTGGCTGGACCTTGAAAGCCATTTAACTATAATACACAACTGAGAACATTATTAATCTCTAAAGACCAAAATTTACTGGTTTTCGTGAAGCAAGATACATTATTCGCATTGCATAAATGTTTCCTGTGATACGAGTATATACGATAATTCAAAGTTTTATACATGCCCTGTCCAAACAACAATCACTAATTTACCGACAAAATTAGGAACTAGAGCGAGAATAATTAGCTCACTATCATAAACAACATTTATTATAAGATATAAACAATTGCAAATGGAAGTTAATCTAATAACGAAATAATTATTTGTGTTTCGTAGTAAGCTTGTTAGGAAATTCTATGTAACTACTGAGCACTTCATACTCATAAAATCTGTTCTTTTTTTATAGAATAAGCGTGACAAACGAGCACACAGTCCATCTAATGGTAAGTAGATCCTGTGGCCCGTAGACATCTACATCTATTTAGAATCAAAATGCAGTGCGTTGTCACCCCTTTCGACTAAGGTGGAATACCACGTTTCTAGTAAAAAGGATATCCGGTTCTCTAGACTCACCATACAAAACACAGTACGCTGCTATTTTAGGCTGGTATTTTGTGAGGGCGTGTGAGCTACCCCGGTCGCGTTAATTCATTCATGCCACAACTATGACTGCCGCGCGACTCTACCAAGTATAAAATTCTACTTGTGTCAGCAATGTAAACCTGAGATCAAAGGCCACCAGTGTCTACGCATTGCACACCAGGGCTTTTTCTCTCTCGCACGGGACCAAAGTTATACTTGGGTTGCGATTCTTTTTAAATATTCCACAAGGCCATAAAATCTAGGCAACATTTAAAGACGGTTACATGGCACAGTTGCTTAAGATGGGATGATATGTGATATAGTTATGCTATTTCACGATGAAGGTTTGACTTTGGTTGTTGTTAGCCGTGCACATACACATTGTGTTAGTGTGCGTAGGCCTCGGGAGCGCTCAGTCACGATCGCGAGTCGAACGAATCACAGTTACACACACAAACGCGCCTGTCGGTACACGTCACTACTACAATCAAGGCGAAACCTTCATCGTTAAATAAAATAACTATTGTGGATTATCTTACGTCGCCATTACACAGTACATACATACAATAAAGGTATGAAACCCCTCCAAGTTAAGTCTTGTCGGCCTATGGTAGAAGAGTAATAAGAATGAAGTGTCTTTTAAAGAATAAAGTCAAAGTTTAGGCGGAAGAGCAATACTGCAGTGATAGCTGAACCACGAATGGGTCAGCTGGATCGGGGAAACTCCACGCTCGCACAGAATAACAACGTGGAATAGCAGCATGATACTGCGGTATTTCGTATGTAAACGAGACTTTTTTTACTGGTAACAAAGTATTTCATCTTAGTCCTCAGAGTTTTGGTTGTGGAGGGATAAAACAGGAACTCCGACCGGACATGACATTCAGCCTGAGAAGCAACCGATGCTCCGAGTAGTAGTTCTTTGAAAGTGTGATTTAAGTTTCAGTGCGTTGCACTTGTAGAGTGACGACAGCGCCGCCACATGGTAATAAACGCTTCTGCATTTTGATTCTTAATCGAAGATAGATGTAGGTGTCTATGCTTACTATCAGGTGATCTGTGTGCTGTAGTTTTGACGGGAATCAAGTGATTTTGATCGCATAGACGCCTTATGAACTTGACTGATGTAACTGTCGTCATCGATTGTCCGCTGGGTTGAGCTGTCGTCAAAATCTCCCAAAAACTTCACAATGTGATGCATCGACATATTGTGAAGAAAAATCTATAAAATGAAGATCCCGAATGAAATGAAGACATGGCTTAAAGGACAAGCGTCCAATCCAAACATGTTAATAAAAAAGATATGTGTGCTCGTTTGTCACTCTCACTTATATAAAATAAAAAATTCTTCGCACACTATTCGAAATGAAACCTATCTAGACCGATAGTCTCTGAAAGTTTTTTAGAAAGGGAT